GCATTCAGGTTTGTGGATTTTGGGAAGGAGATAGAAGCGGGCGGTGCGGGGTTGGGGAACGATGAGGTTGGAGGCCGTGGGCGGGAGGTCACCTGAGGTGATGAGGTTGTAGATGGTTTGGCAGATGATGGTTTGGTGCTCAGGGGTGGAGTCATGATCAAGGGGGCGGTAGGAGGAGGTGTCGGAGAGTTGGCGTCTGGCCTCGGCGATGTAGAGGTCAGTGCGCCATACTACAACTGCGCGTCCCTTGTCCGTGGGTTTTATGGTGAGGTTGGGATTGGAGCGGAGGAGCGGAGGGCTGCACGTTCTGCGGGGGAAAGGTTGGAGTGGGTGAGAGGGGTGGAGAGGTTGAGGCGATTGATGTCTCTACGGCAGTTGGAGATGAAGAGGTCGAGGGAGGGTAGGAGGCCTTGGGGTGGTGTCCAGCAGGAGTGGGTGTGTTGGAAGCGGGAGAAGGGGTCAGTGGAGGGAGGGTTAGGTTCACGGTTGAAGAAGTAAGCGTGGAGGCAGAGGCGGCGGAAAAACTGCTCTATGTCCAAGCGTGAGCGATATTCGTTGATCTGTCGGTGGAGGGGGACAAAGGTGAGCCCTTTACTGAGGACTGACCGTTCGTCCTCAGTAAGGGGTAGGTCTGGGGGGTTGGTGAAGACTCGGCAGGGCTGGGTGCTATTGTCCCCTCTGGAGTTACTGGCTGTGGGCGGAGCGACGTCGGCTGTGGGCGGAGTTGCGTCGGTGTCGGCGGTGGGCGGAGTTGCATCGGCGGTGGGCGGAGTTGCGCCGGCGGTGGGTGGAGTTGCGTCCGCGTCGGTGATGGGCGGAGCGGCGTCGGCGGTGGGAGGAGCGGGGTAGGCGGCGGCAGTAGCGGTGACGGTAGTCGCGACTTCAGTGTCGGTGGCAACAGCAGCGATGGTGTTCGCTGTCCCGGAAGTGGGGAACCCTGCGGTGGCGGATGTGACATCATCTGTGGGTTCCCCGATAGTGGCCTCATGGCCAACGGCGGTGGACCCATTGTGGGGAAGATCCTGGGTACGGCTGGGGATTTGGGGGGTGGAGGAAGCCCGTTTTGGGTGGCAGGCACCAGTAAGTTTACTGTACTTACGGTTTTTAGTGTCCAATAAGGCTGAGTAGAATTGTGAGTTCAGGTTGTGGATCCTACAAAGAATAAAAAACAGGAGAGGTCCTTTGCAGGTCTGGGAGAGGGAGGCTCTGAGCTGGGGTAGGCTTGATTGTAGTGCCTGGAGTTTGTTGTACCAAAATGCAATACCTCACATTTATCCAGATTGAACTTCATCTGCCATTGTTCAGCACATTGACCCATTCGATCAAGATCCTTTTGTAATCTTAGAAAACCTTCTTCATCGTCTACTATGCCACCAATTTTGGTGTTGTCCGCAAACTTACTAACCATGTCTTCTATATTCTCATGCAAATCATTTATGTAAATAACAAACCCAGAACCAATCTCCATGGGACACCACTGGTGACAGGCCTCCAGAACAAAAAAAACCCTCCACCACCATTCTCTGTCCCCTGCCATTCAACCAATTATGTGTCCAATTGGCAAGCTCACCCTGAATCCCATGTGACATAACTTTACTAATTAGTCCACCATGCGGAACCTTGTCAAAGGTTTTACTAAAGTCTAAATAAGTAACGTCTACTGCTCTGCCCTCATTAACCTTTTTGGTAACTTCCTCAAAATACTCAATCAACATTGTGAGACATGATTTTCCTCGCACAAAACCATGCTGACTATCCCTAATCA